TGGAGCCTGACTCTGGTTCCACCCTGAACTACGTAGTTTAAATAAAATCAGTTATGATTTAAAGGGGGAGGGACTGTTATTCATGTAAAAGATACTGTTAACCCTCAATAAAGGCCACGGGTTTTAGGAATTTGATGACATGCTCTTGAGACTACAGGGTGTGACCCTCTGTTAGAAACCAAGGACAGGGTAAGGCAACTAAGAAATTTAAACTAAGCCAGCCTGGTGGCTCATGCCTCTAATTGTAGCATTTGGGAGGCTGAGGAAGGAGAATCACAAGTTTAAGGCTACATGCTGAGACCCTGTCTCAAAACTAATACCGGAGCAAACATGAAAAACCTGTGGATTCCATGCCTGACAAACTCCCTCCACAGTGTCTATCTAGATGTGGAGGGTGTTGAAATCTGGCTCAGGTAATATCCCTCACAAAAGGGGGAATGGACAAGTCCCCCAGAGCACATGGGAAGTGGGAGGGGCAGTGAATGGAGAGAAAACTAGGAGAAAGAGAAGGGGAGGAGAGGAAAGCATGTGCAACTAGGAAGATTGAGTCAGGGTAGGAATAGAAGACCGGGGAGGGGGGGAGAGAGAGAGAGAGAGAGAGAACATAAAAGAGGGAGCCATTATTGGTTTGAAGCGAAAACTGAACCTAAAGAAAGGTCTAGAGACCTACAAGACTGCTGCCAACTAACTATTTGAGCAACTGTGGAAAGACTACCATAAATGCCCTTCCCGGATAGTGAGATCAACAACTAACTTATCCACCATCATGGAGCCCTCATCTAGTACTTGTTAGAAACAGAAGCAAACACCCATACCTAAACACTGAGTCGAACTAGAATCCAGATGCAGAGAGAGAGAGGACCAGACCAGGTTGCAGAAACACATAGAGACAGCTGACCTGAACAAGGAGGAGCTAACGGGCCCCCAGACTGATAGCTGGGAATCCAGCATGGGACTGACTCAGACCCCCTGAACATGGGTCTCAGCCAGAAGGACTGAGCAGTTTAAGGGACCTCAGACAGTGGAGCCAGGATGTATTCCTGGTGCACAAAAGGACCTTGCTAACACACCCCCTATGGGATGTGTTAACCTAGAGGCAGGAGAGAAGTCCTAGTCCCTACTTCAAATGTCTTGACAGATTTAGATGATCCCACCTGGATGGCATAGACCTACATGTGGAAGGGGAGTGGGGAGATGGGAGAGGAGGATGGTCAGGGTGCATGTGGGGGGGGGGGAGAGTGGGAGGGAGGGAGAGGGAACTGGGATCAACATGTAAAATAAAAAAACATAATAAAATGAAAAAAAAATAAAAAGAAAAAAAATTGACATAATGGTGAATATGACGCCACTACACCTACACTTTTAATCTCGGCACTGGGTAGCTTATTGGTCTACACAAGTTCCAGGCCAGCAGGACTTATGTCAGGTTACAGTCCCAAGTACTAGGGCATGGAGTTAGCAGGTAGAGATAGGAGGATTGCCTCAAATTAAAGAACCAGCTGGTCTCCATAGGGAGTTCTAGGTCAGCCAGGGTTACACAAGGGGATGGAGCAGCAAATCAAGCCAACAAAAAGAAAACCAGGTTATAAGGCAAAGGTCACAGTTCAGTGACCGAGCATCTTCCCTGGCTGGATTCCATCCTGAGCACAACTGTGCACTCGTCCACACTTACACTCACAGAATGGAAGGAGAGAGGGAGGCAGGGAGGAGGAGTGTGGGGAGGAAAGCTGGGAAGGAGCTGACCAGAAGGGAAGTCAGGCAGGCTCATGCCTATAGTCCAAAGCGTTTGGGAGGCTGTGTGCTCCCTCTTTCCCTCTCCGACAGGGGATGTAGCCCTGTTGACCTTGCACTTTTGGCAACATTCCTGTCTCAGCCTCCTGAGTGCTGGGATCACAGACATGAGCCACCACACCCATCTCCAACTCCAATGCCCTCTTTTAAAACAGAAAATTAAGGGCTGGAGATATGGCTCAGCCATTAAAGACAACCCCCCCCCAACACACACACACACAGAAACAATATAAACAATGTAAAGATTTTCTTTTGGGTGTAGTGTCTGTAATCTCAGAATTTGGGAAGTAGAGGTGGGAGAATCAAGATTTCCAGGCCACTATTGGCAACATGGTTAGCTCAAGGACTACACAACAAATGCCCAGTGTGGTAGCCCACACACTCAATCCCATCACTCAGCAGGCAGACAGAACATTTAAAGTTCAAGGCCAGCCTGAACTTTAATCTCATGTCCGACAGCTAGGATTATGCAGTGAGATGCTGAAAAAACAAACAAGCAGACAAATAAAAAAAAACAGGAAAAATAAAAATTCTCCGCTGGAGTTGTTGGTGCAGACCTGTAATCTTATCTACAGGGAAGGCTGAGGGGAAAGAATGACAAACCCATTGCCCAACTGGCTACATAATGAGCTTAAGACCAACCTTGACAAATTAGTGAGATTCTGCCTCAAAAAACAGAAAGAGCATTGGGGCTCTAACTCAGTGATAAAGCACTTGGTTGGCATGTGCGAAGCCCTAGCTCTGTCTGCAGAACCGAAGAAGAAAAAGCATGTGGACTCTGGATTATTCTTAGGACACCGAAGTGAGAAAACCAATGACCTCTGTTTTCCTACTAAACTGTAACCTTCTGAGGGCAGCGAAGGCATCAGTTTTGCCTTCGTATTCCCAGAGGCTGTTTCAGGGTCTTTAGCACAGTTCACACTTAGTAAAAGATTACATGAGCAGAGACTGAGAGAAGTAGCTTGTGGGCCTCCCGTTTCCTTACTCTCAAGCATTACTTGTCCCAGCTCTCCTGGAGCACATGATGGCTCATGTTCACCACCTACACATACCCTTGAATAAACCTGTGGGATGTCACCTGGCTTCCCCCACGCTGGGCTGTAACCAGGGCACTAGCCTGAAAGGGAAGCAGGTGAGGGACATTCTGTACCAGGACTTTTGCCCTGTATGAGTCTGAGCCATTTGGCTTGGGCCTCCCTTGCTATGCCTGGGAATCCAGCTGGAGGATGTGTCCTTGACGTTACCACAGTGCTAACTGACTCAGTTAGAGTCTGTGAGAATCTGAATGTGGAGAAGTAGCAGTGGGGGCTTTTAGCACATGTACTGAATAAAGTGCAAACCCCCAAGACTAGAGTCACCGATTATCCAGAGCTTTCTGGAGGTACAGTGCATTAATGCAGTGTACAGAGCAGTGGGGAGAAATAGCGGTCAAATGAGATGTGACTTTGTCATTGCAGTCATACACATTTACATTAACTCACTTCATCTTTGTAGCAATGCAGTGGTATCCCAACAGTGTGACCATCTAAAACCCAGGGAACATAATGCATTTTATTTTTAACAGTACTAGGGACTGAACCTAGAACCTTGTGCATGCTATGCTAGCCAAATGCTTTACCATGGAACTATATATCTCCAGCTCTCTTACTTTTGAGACAGGCTTCAGTTAAGTTTTAAAAGCTGGCTTGAGCTGACTAAGTAGCTAAGACAGGCCTTGCACTTGAGGCCTCCCTCCCTTAGCCTCCTGAGTAGCTGGGATTGCAGGCCTAAGTCACCAGGTAAGCTACATGTATTCTATAGCCAGAATTAGGAGGTGTGAACAGGTACAGGAGTAGGGAGAGATGATAGCCTGAAGGAGCAAGTTGTCAAGGAACAGAATTGAAAGCTGCGGATGGGCAGGGGTTCGGTTACCTACAGCAACTTCTTGGAGTCATTGACTAATAGAAGCTCCAGGAAGCAGAGAAGATAGTGATTGAGGCTGAGTTCTTGCTTTGCTTTTAACCTCAGTTATTTCTCTGTGCCTCAGTTTGCTTGCCTGAAAAACAAGTAGAAGGAATGGAGTGAACTCTTTCATTCTGAAAGTCCTCTGCTGGGAGAAATAAATCCTCAAATCAACATATAAACGCTGGGCATGGTTAATGGCAGTTTTGGACTTCTTGAAGATGAAGTTCAAAGGACAGGTGGGTTAACCACAGGTCACTTTTGGGGGATTAAGGTAGAGAGAAGTTCACATTGTTGAAGCTGGCTTGTTTAGGAACTTGAATACATATTTTTTTTTTTTCAGAGGGTCAGATAGTTAGTTTCGGCTTGATGTGGAAGTTAAGAGAGGGGCTTCCATTTGGACTCAGCCTTCTTTATTCACAGTAGTTTGAAACAATGGCCAGCAGTTTTAAAGTCCTCTCTACTCTTTTGTGGGGGACAGAACCCAGTGCTAGGAAGCATCCTATTACTGAAGGGTCCCTGATTGCAGAAATATAAAATTGTATGTCCAAACACATTTTGGAAAAAATAATAAAGTTGGCGTATATTTCTGTATTCTTGGACCCTTCCCTACTGAGTTATTTCCCGAGGCTGACTTTAATTTTACTTTAGACCCCTGTGAGTATTTATTATGTGCCAATGTTGCACTAGGTACTTTTGTGACAAATAAGAGCCCCCTTTAGATAGATATAAAAGCTGAGGCCTCAAGAGATCACTAACACCTAAGAGTGTCCCTCCCAAGTGTGTCCCACCTGCTGGTCACAGCTACACTGGTGGCCTAATAAGCTCAGTGACAGTAGGAATCCACTCTTGAGGTTTAACTCCAGAGCTCGAGGTGCTGATTCCCCTTCTTATAGCCAGGGTCAACTTTTTACTCCATAAGCAACAGGACAGAACGTTGTCTTTTCTGGGTGGGTGGGGGGTCTTTTCTGGGTGAGGAATGCGCTTTTTATAGCTTGGGGTCTCTTCTGTTTACTTGGTCTCTTCCAGCACTGGTTATTCCTGCCTAGTTTTGTCCTTCACTGTCCTTACACTGCATTCCTAGGTTTCCTCTCTGCAAAAGACAGCTAACTCAAGAACACATGCTGTTTTTGTGTGCGTGTGCCAGCCCAGGAATTTCACTCCCCTCCTTCTTTAAGGCTGCCTACCTTTCTATAAATAATTGTCCTCTTCCCTCCCTTCAGATCTCGGAGTAGTTTGGTCACATTAACGCACGCGCGCCGGCACACTCACTTTCGGGGGCGGGGGTGTGGGTATGAGTGACCTTGTGAAGGTACTAGCCCACTGCGGATAGGATTAGCAAACCTGGAACCTCTGCAAATATTTGGCTTCCTCCCGCATTCCTCCCGAGGCTTCTGGCTGTCTCGTGCCTACCTCACCCAGTACCCTTTAGGCTTGCACCGCCACACAAAGCACGATCCGCCTATCTCCTCTTCGAAAACCCTGAGAACTTCATTCCGCACGTTAAAACTCGTCGGTGGCGGTGGCGGGCAGGACTGGGCATGCTCAGTGGCAGGGACAGGTCTGGGAGGCAAGGAAGCGGCATTTGAAGTGGCTCGGCCTCGGGATGAGGGGGAGGCGGGTGCCCCGGCCGGGGTCCGCGGAGGTTCCCGGGGCGGCGCGCGAGGCCGACATGCTGCGGGCGGGAGCAGCCAGCCCGGCGCGCGGAGGCCAGGCCGCCGAAGACACGGGGACGCCGGCGGGAGGAGGGGAGGAGCGCCGGGGCCGCCAGCCCCCGGCCGCGGCGCTGAGGCTGCCAGATAGCAAGCCGCCGCAGGGAGGATCAGAGGACACGAGGACGCCCGACCGTGACCTCCAGCGAGGCCGCCTGAGCCGGAGCCCGCGCAGCGCCCCGCCAGCCCCGGGCATGGGCGACCGCGGCGCGCTGCACGAGCGCGCGGCCCTGCAGTCCCCGGGGGGCCCCGAGGGCGCCGCGGCCGCCGTGGTGAACGGACTGCTGCACAACGGCTTCCACCCGCCGCCCGCCTGCAGCCGCGACCCGCCTCCAGCACGCTTCCAGCTCTCGTCCGAGCTGCAGCCGCAGCCGCTCTTCTCCCAGCATGACTCTCCGGCCAAGAAATGCCGGCTGCGGAGGAGGATGGACTCCGGGAGGAAGAACAGGCCGCGTAAGTCCCGACGGGAGGGAGCGGCCGTGTCCGCGCTTGAGGGGGCGGCCAAGCGCCTGCTAGGGACTGCAGCCTCTCTAGAGGCGCTGAGCGCTGAAGGTGGTGGCCGGCGGCGGTTCCTGGCTAGTCCTATCCGCCTGACACTAGCTGTGGCTGCTCCCTCGGTCACAGTAGAGTAAAGGCGAGCGCTCTGTCCGCTTTTATTGGTGGCCAGGAGCATGCACCCGACTGATCTTGGGTCTAGGACTAGAGATAGTGCAGACTGGCACAGCCCAGGCTCACTGCTCCCTTCTCCGTGCACATCTTTTGGGGTTTGCATTTCAGGCTACTAAGCTTGCCCTTTGAATTGCAGAGTAACCGCCAGTATCTCGGGCCCATTGGCAAGCTTAAGTCTGAAGGCGTGGAGTTTGACAATCCCCCAAATCACAGCCTATTAAACAGTGTTTCTACACAGCCAGTGAGACAGCCTGTGTATAGGGAAACACCCACTGACACCATGTGGGCTGGAGCTGTGTGGACCAATGAGGCCTTCAGGTGGATTATTTTATTTATTTATTTTTCTCTGGAGTGGGTAGAGTTGAGTGTAATTGTACAGCGCCGAAAGTGCGTTGTTTCACAACCCGAGGCTTGTATATATAATGGTAGATTACAAAGTGTACTTTCCCCACCTGGCATCCTGGGATGTCAGTTTGTAGGTAGAGTTTACGATTTTTTTTTTGTTTGTTTTGTTTTATAATCTGAACCTAACTCCATTCAACTGGTTACCTCTTTGTGTCTTTAATGAAGCTTATAAATGGCAAAAAGCAAAGTAAGTAGAGTGCACGGTAAACTGAATGCATCCAAAAGTGTACTTTGTACATATGGATTACTGGTTGGTGTTGGGAAATGACTAGATTGGGCTGGAATTTCTGTGAAAGTTTGATCTTTGGCAAAGAGCATAACTCCTTCAGCTTTTGTTCATGATTTTTATCTCTTCATAGCTTTTCTGCAGTGTATTCGTTTCTAAAATTTTGGAAAAGGTTTCAACTTGACTATGGGTGAATCCAATTCGTGCATTTTGTAGGTCTGAAATGTTAGGGTGTGTGGAATTTGGGAATCTACACAGCAGGTTTGATTCGACTGTGGCTGTAAGACAGTTATTTAGTGTCTGAGTTTTTGCATACTTTTTTATAGTTCTTGGAAAATTATTTTATCAACTTCATATTGACTGGTACTTGTGCCTTATTCATTTGTCTTACTTTTGTGAAGCCACATTTTAGTTATTTCTCCAACTTCTATGTTTTAAAGAGTTTACTATAGTTTTCAATGACAATAGCTAGACTCCAAGGGAAAAAAAAAAAAAAAAAAAAAAAAAAAGAACTAGGCAAGAATGTTAGCACAGACATATGATCCCAATGCTGGGGAATCTGAATAGAGACTCCTGCTTGAGACCAGCCTGATCTATATATTGAGTTGTATGGGTGACAGAGAGGCAGAGTTGCTGGTTTAAATCGTCTTTTTCTTTCTGTGGTTTTTCTTTGTTACTGTGTGGTGGTGGGTATGTGGGTGTGAGCATGCCACGGCAGCCGAGGATGTCAGAGGAAAACTTGGCAGAGTTGCTCTGTCCTTCCATCATATGGGCTCCAGTGATCAAACTCATGGTAGCAAGGGCCCTTTCCTGTTGAGCTGTCTCTCTGGTGTTTTTGAGACCTTGTTTTTGGGATCTAGCCCCAGGCTGGCCTGTAGCTCTTGCCCTTGCTCAGCCTCCCGAGGGCTAGGATCACAGAACTATATCATCATGCCTTACTGTGCACTTCTTAAATTACTTTTTGAGGAATTGAAAATACATTATCTAACAATGATTTGGAGAAAGAGAAACTAATCTAAGCCTTCTCTATGCTTACAAAGCTATATGGATTTTTTTTTTTTTTTTTAAATACAAGAAAACCTAACTTCCCTATGTGCTTTGTGTCAGAAGTAGTCAGGGGGCTTGTGTTTCTTACAGAAAAGTAAAAACTCGTAATAAAGTTTTATTTATAAATTCTGCTATTTAAAGTTATTTATTTACCTTCCCTCCTCTCCCCCTCCCCCACAGGATCTTGTGTAGCCCAGTCTGGCCTCAAACTCTCTTTTTTTCTTTCTTTTTTTTTTTTCATCTGCATTTATTTTTTGCTGAATTTATTCCCGTGCCATAATTTTTTTTTTTTTTTTTCAGTTTCTTCTGGGATATCTTTTTCTTCTGTGCAACTTCCTCTTCTGGCTTCGGAACAATCTTTTCCTTTTCAGTGAGGCTCATCTCAGTGTGGCAGAGGGAGTGTATGCCCGGGTTAATGAACACTGTAATCCGTGGGTGCATCTTAGGCCTTTGTTCACCTAACTGTATTGAGTGACTAGAGAATCTACATCCAAACCCTTCACTTCAGCATGCCTCTCTGCATTGTTAAGCATGTGCAGCAAAAATTCAGCACTCTGTTTTTGGCCACAGACCCTATGTCCAGCCCCACTGTTTGGCCTGGGCTCATCTACCAACTCCACCACTATACCACCAGAACGGGCACACCTTGTGTCTTTAAAGTGACATCTTTCCGATATTTGATGGCTTTTCCCATATGCCTGTCCCTGATGGCCTGAGAAATTTCACAGGTGTTCTTAAAGTGAACGTGAAGATTTGGTTCTCTTGATTTGCATGATTTGGTATGGTTTCCTGGGTCAAGAGAGTAGTGAGCCATAGTCACAGGTCACCTCAGGCTGCTCACAGGAAGAGAAGCCTCAGACTCTTAAGTGTAGCCAAGAATAAGCTTGAACTCCTTGATCCTCCTGTTTCTACAGTAAACAACCACACTTGGTTTATTTACAACTTTTTGTTTGTTTTTTTGAGGCAGGGTCTCACTATGTAGCATCCTGGGAACAAGCTGGTTGCAGAGATCCATCTGGCTCTGCCTTTGGAATGCCACCAGCCTGGCGTATTTACAGTTTTTTAAAAGGACCGAATCAAAGCTTGCTTTTTCATTAATTCTATTGTTTAGTTTTCTTAGATTTGATCACACATAAAAATTTAAAAAAATTTGTGTGGATGTTTTGCCTACATGTATATTTCTGTACTGCATGCATGCCTGGTGTCTTTAGAAGTAAGAGGAAGGCATCAGATCCCCTGGAACTAAAGTTGCAGATAGTTGTGAGCCACCATTTAGGTGCTGGATCCAAACTTATGTTCTCTGCAAGGGCAGCTAATGTTCTTAACTCCTGAGCCATCTCTGCAGCCCTGAACACACAGTTCTGAAGTAAATTGTGCATGCCCTAAGGGATATACCTGTACAGTTCACTACCAACATGCCTTACTTTAAGACTAGGTTTAGCTCAAGAGAGATGGCTTGGCACTACTTTTCCAGGATGTCAGGGTTTGGTACTCATATCAGGAGGCTCACGACTGTTTGTAAGTCCAGCCCTATGGCTCCCTGACACCCTCTTCTGACCTGTAAGGAGTCCTGCACACATGCCCCAGACACATGTATACCACGAGATGAAGCCATGTGTACATTTAAAGTAAAACAAATGACACACGCACGCACGCACGCACACACACACACACACACACACACACCAAAACCCCCCAGAAGTTTAAACTCAGTCTTTCATTATGAGGGTGTTCTAATCTAGAAATCAAGTCAGGAGGCTGAAGGAATTGCTCAGTGGAGGAAGATGTACACGTCCAGCATTTCCTACTCACTGGGATTCACTCCCAACACCCTCCAAAAATCAGATCAATTGCTTATTGGTTTTACTTAACAAGGAAAGGAGAATGTTGTCTATTTACTGCTCATCTAAATGTCACCCTACTTTACTTACTCCCTGGAGAACTTTTCTAAGACCAACCTCTTTACCAGGTTTCCTTAGTTATTTTGCCTTCCCATGCTACTTAGCAGTCATGAGATCAACTACAGTACCAGTGCTCTTGTAATGTTGGAGTTGAACTAAGAAGTTGTTTCTAATACTTGCAGAATTCCATGATGTTTCAGTGCTGACAATTCTTGCTGTGTGATCTCTGTACTAGTTGTCTGGCTGGCCATATGAGTGACCATTTCATTATGTGTTCATGTATATGTGTGTGTACATGTGTGTGCCTGTGCGTGTGAGCGCGTGTACTTGTGTATATGTGTGTGCGTATATATATATATATATATGCTCATGTTTGTGTATGTGTGTGCATGTGTGTGCGTGTGCACATGTGTGTGCGTGTGTTAGGTTTGTGTGAGTGCTGGATATCGAGACTAGGGACTCCCACATGCCCAAAGCACACTGTCCCACAGAGCTAGTCCTAAGCCCTGCCTGTCTCCCACCACAGTTACCTTTGTTGATTGCCTTTTGTTACTTCCTTTGCAATGAAGCTGGAAGTCTGATTAGAAATGATGTACTTTTGTGTACTTTGAAATGGAGAAGCGTGTGTTTGTGATTGACAATGAAGTAGAAAATGGTCCAAGTGGCATATGCCTGCTTCACCGAATAGTTGCCCCCATTTCCACAGCTGGTTTTGACGAAAGACCTGCAGTGGCTCCCAGTGAAGTATCAGTAGAGAGGCTCCTTTGATCTAGTCCGGTGTACTGGCTTTATTTTGTCCCTGCCAGCTCTCTGTTATGCTCTTGTTTGTTTATTTGGTTGGTTAACATGTAGTTAATACTTGCCAGACATGTTATTCCCAGCAATAAGCTAAAAATAGTCCTAGTGATTTTATTTAACACCTGTATATAAATGGATCAAAAAGTTTACCTGGAAAAGCTGGCTCAAATCTCAAAGCAGGTCCCAATGAGTCGAGGTTTCCTGGGGTGCTACTCCTAACACCAAGGTGGCAGCCAGGCTGGCTGACACACCCTGCTACACTGATGTTGTCAAACCAGTGGGATAGCACTGCTGGGTGATCATCTCATTTCTGAAAGTTTGGAAATGAATGTAGTTCCACGACGCCAGTTGTATAAATTCACCCCTCCCTCCGTCCAGATGACTTGGGCTTGAAATTCAGCTGTGCA